AAAATAAAAGGTAAAATAATAGGTAAAAAGTAAAATAAAAGGTAAAATAATAGGTAAAAAGTAAAATGATTTGAGAGGTTTTTGCTATTATATGAATATTTTTATGTTTTTCAACTATTTTTTTGGAATTAACGACTTTTATGTTACTACTGTAACAATGGTCTTTTGGCTTTATTTCAACTTGTCAAAATCCAGAAACCAAGTTAGTTATTGAAAAGTATTTGATTATCTTGAACTCATTCAATAATTTATCAATACAGAATAGTAAATATTGATCTCGAATAGTAATTTTATTTAACTTTCAATAATTCACACATAGACAAAATTTACCATTTCTCTTTTTGGTAATTATAACTAGAACTGATCAAGAACTTTCAAAAGATATAATAATTTTATCTTCTATTATTTTGTTTATTTTATTTTCCAAAAATTCATTTTCCAATAGTGATTTTTGATAGTATAATTTAAGAGTAATTAATTTAGTAATAATGATAGATATTTCATATTGAATAACTATAATATATTCAGACTTACTTAGATCAAATAAGTTTGAATATTTATCCAACACTTTATTTAATTGTTTGTTTTGTTCTGGTGTGAGATCAGTTTTTATTACACTATCTTCTTCATTTTCTATTTGTTCAATTAAGTTAACTTCTTCTTTTGGTATTATTTCAAGTTGATTATATATAAATTTTTCATCACTGCAAATTGAACAGTTATTATTTTTCATATAAAGAAGATGATATTTATTATAATCTGCTTTTTGCTTTCAGGTAATTTAATCAATAATGAATTTGTTCAGTATATGTTGATTAATTTGGATATCAGTTTTATTTATTAAAACTTTAATATTTGATTGTTCATTATCTTCTGATATCAAAAGTAAAGATTGAGAAATCAATTTTTTTTTCATATTCTTTATTATTATCTATGATTTGTAATGGTAGCTGTTCAAACATTGTTTTTTCTTCAAATTCTTCTTAATGAATTATACAAGTAACTGGAACAGCTAAGATTTAATCATTAAGTTTATATTGCAATTGTTCTTTTCACCAATCTAATTTTGCAAAGTATTTATATATTCAAATATTATCTAATATTAGATTATATTTGCTCTTTTTTGTTACTAGTGCATTGATTAATTTGATGTGATAATTCTTTTATTAAAATATTGAGATCTAAGACTTCTTCAAGAGATCTTTCAGCATTATTATTAATTTCAATAAGATTAATATTTGATGATTAATTAATTATTCTTTTTACTTTTCTAAAAATATCCAAGATATAATATTATTGATAGAACTGCTATTAATAATAATATTTGCTAAATATTATTTAACAAGATTTTTATAATATATGACATTTTCTGGTTCAATATAAATTTTATCTTTAATTTTTGTATTTTCTTTTTGATTTTTTATTTATAAGAAGGATTTTGTTTAATTACAGCACTCTCATTTATTAAGGGTGTCTTTCATAGTTTAAATATTGTTCAACTTCTTTATCATTATTATTGTTATTATTATTATGTTGGTTAATTGTTAATTCTTGTAATTATGATATAATTATTATTAGAATTTCAATATTATTACTAGTTATATTATTGTTTTGTTAATTAATACCTAAATTATTTGATTATAAATGTTATTTATTATCTTTTCCTTTATTGCATTTAGCTGTACAATGCCCAGTTTTACCACATGAGAAATAAGTAATTGTTGTTCCATTGGTATAGTTATTATTATTTGATTATTATTTTGTTTTAGTATTTTTCTTAGAATAACATTTTTTTTAATATGATCTCTTTTTTTACAATAATTACAAGTTATAATTCAGTTATTATTGTTATTGTTATTATTATTACTATTATTATAATTATTATTTCATTGTATTAATTGATTATTGTTGTTATAAGTCAATTATTTTACTGTTTTGGTGAGTTCAGCCAAAGTTTTTGTTAAATCATTATTGTTGAAATTATAGTATTTAAAATTGCAATATTTTAAACTAATGAGGATATTGGAAATGTGATTTGATATAAATTAACTATATTATAAGTTCTGTTATATTCAATTTTAGTTTGAATAGCTAATTTAATTGTATTATTTAAAATTGCTGGATTTTTATGGTTAATAAAGAAAACAATTAATCTTTTGTAAATTTGTGAATTTTATAATCAGCTGGGTAGTCATTATTTGGATCAATTTTATTTAATAAGATTTTTATATCATCTGTATATTGAATGACTGATTTATTTGAATTCTGAACCTTAATAACTAGTTATTGTCTTCAAATCATAATTTGTATATTAATTCTAAATTGGATTATGAAATGATTTTTAAAAAAATTATTATTGTTTTGAGCTCAGATTTGAGACCAATCATTATGTGCTTGTTTTCACTGTTCATACCAATTACCAGTAATATCTTTGAGATATGCAGTTATTACTATAATTTTTCTTGTATTAATCATATTATTTGCTTCAGTATAGTGATTGAATTCTTCAAATCAAATAATTGGATCATCAGTTTCATTATCTTGAAAGGTTGATAATGGTAAATTATTATATTCAGTTTGTTGATTTTGTTGTGCAGTCATTGCATTAACTAATGGAGTAATAGCTTCAGTCATATGTCTAATTGCTTTGTCTATCATTTGATTATTTTGTTGTGGTAAAGGTGTAGATTGTTGTTGTATTTGTTGCTAGTCTTGCTGAGTTTGTTGTTGGATTGACTGTTGTAATTGTTGAATTTGTTGAGTTTATTGTCTTCTTTATATTCTTTCAGCTTTTTTTGTTGTGGCTGTTTGTTGTTGTAAGTAACAAGTTTGATGTTGATTAAAGTTGACAATATCTTTACAAAAGTTTTGAATATAATTAATTATTTCAAGTGGGACTTTGTTACTGTTATTTGAGATTAGCTGTATTAATTATATTATTACTATATTATTAACTTGTCTGAATAGTTGTCAGGTGAAGAGAATTTCTACTAGATTAAATAAATGAGTTTTATCATTGTTTGATATTTCTTCAATTATTAATGCAGTTATAAGTAAACAAAATTATTTTTGTACTTCTATTACTGTTGGTCTTGTTGGATTCAGTTTTTCTTTGTAATTTTTGCTTTACAGAGGGAGCACCAAAAATCTATCACTAATCTGTAATCTTTGCTGATGAAGATATTCATGAGATAGATAATAGTGACTGTGTTCATGCAAAAGTATATAATATAAGTATTTCTAAGATATGAGTTTCAATGTCAAGTGATAAAGATTGTATTTATAATTTTTACAAGTGGAGCTTTATAATGAATATAAATAATAATTTAATACATAATGAATATAAATAATAATTCAATACATAATGAATTATTATAATAAGAAAGACAAGAAAATCAATAAGAATAAGATAATTAGAATAATTAGCAGTCTGATCTATTTTTATTATTGTCAAGATCAAAGATAAATTACAAGATGTCTAATTTTCTATGTTAGATTACATTTATTTAAATATATATTAAAGTGATACAGATTACAAGATTTGTAATGATGTAAAAAATCAATAAAATAATAAAATTATAACATATGTAATATCAAGAAATAATAAATATCACTTAAATCATCAAGCGTACAAATTTGTATGCTTAAATTTTTTCAGACCTATTTTTGTACATTTGCTCTTGATTTTCATAAGTCACACCACCTCTTTCTTAAGCTAAAATAAAAGTGTTCTACATTCTGATTAAGATATGATTGATATATTACATATAATACTTACGTGTTTGTAATACATATCGATCAGAGATCGTGTACTTAATAATCATTTTTTGAGATTATAATTGTTCTTTCAATACCAAATATGTCTTCTAATCTTGAGTTGGCTTCAAGTTTGACCTCTCCTGAAAACACAGTGTTCTACGTTGATGGTGATGTATCACATTTGACTTTCCGTCCGCACTCGTTGAACAATTTGAACTGGAACTACGATGATAATGACACTGAATCTGTAGAATTGGATGCTGAAAGTTTCCACAAAAGAGATCGTAAATCTGCCAAAACAAAACAATGAGAACTGTTATCACCTCCTTCCAACTTTGAACTATTTGTTCATCTGAAATTACTGTATTAGATCTCTGTTCAGTTATCATCACATCTTGACGTTTTTGTTTCTAAACCAATTGATTTTTTCTTCCTTTTTTTACGACTTCCATCCTGGATACAATTGTTGATAACACGAATTTGTATGTATTGATGAAAGACGCTGGCATTATCAGTAAAGTTTGACAAGACTTGACACGTAAAGAGCTTATTATTTGGATCGCTCTTGTTATTTACCAAGAACTTTTTAAGTTACCTTCTCTTAATCAATACTGAAATGAGAATATGACGTTCCCTGTTCACCAAATTTCACAGCAAATGTCACTGATATGTTTTGAACAAATTAAAAGATTTCTGCACATTTCCTCTCTCACAATAACAATCAAACATTACTTCAAAAAATTAGAGCCTTTACTTTTACACATTTGAGATACTTCAAAGTGACTTTACATGTCAAACTCAAATGTTTCAGTGGATGAAATGATGGTTCAATTTTCTGGCAGAAGTGTGCATACTATTCGAATGAAAAACAAGCACATTTCTGAGAGTTTCAAGATTTTATCACTCTGCGAAGTGGAGTATACCTACACTTTTCTACCAACGTCACGCATTTCTCCAAGTGATGTAAAAAAGATAGATCATCTTAGTCAAACCGGATGTTTGATTCTCCATCTCGTCAAACAACTTCTGTATCAATATTTTCCATACAATTTATATATGAATAATTATTTTTCTAGCATTCCTCTTTTTTAATATCTTAGAGGAATTGGCATTGATGCCTGTGAAACTGTTCGAAAAAATTCTTCTGAATTTCCAAAAGAATTGAAAGTTGATAAAAATATCAAACTTGATTGGAATATTCGTTCTGGTATTGCCCTGTAAAAAAAAATAAAAGATAAAAATCAGGAAAAAATTCAGTTTTTTAGTTCCAGAAAATCACAGGTTTTGTTAACAAATTTCCAGATTAAAATCTGATAAAAAATTGCTTAAAAATGAAAAAATAGGAAAAATAAAAAAAATATCCAGAAACTTTGGGACGCAATATCTCGTGAACCACGAAATCAATCTGGACGAAAATATTACCATTCGATTTGTTTAGTCTTAGTGAATCGAATGATGGTATTTTCGTCTAGATTGGTTCCGTGGTTCACGAGATATTGCATCCCAAAGTTTCTGGATATTTTTTTTATTTTCCCCATTTTTTTTAAAAATGGATTAATATCTTATCACTCACTTAATCAAATTGGATAAAAATAAAGCCACATATTTACTGAGA